TCTGTGTGTGGTGATTCAGTACTGACTCTCAAAGGATCAGAGTGTTTGGTAAGGGGAGGGGGGGCTGCTGATTTCAGGGGGGAAAAGTGCTGCTTCCTGGCCACCCCACTCCTGTTTATGTGAGAGCATGGGGTCTACCTTTGTCTGTGTGACATATGGCTGGGCGACAGGAGCCAGTCACTCCTTATCAGTGTCACATGGTCCAGAGCTTCGTCATACACCAACCCGCAGATTGTGTCTGTACATGTGCATGTGCAACAACCACTGTTTGTGATATATTATGTATATTATGTATATGGTGTGTGTGTGTGTGTGTGTGTGTCACCATCTCATACTGAGAGATATGGGGTTGAGAGAAGCAGAGAAGAGCGAAAGGTAGTGAAATGGTTGCCTGACGAGAAAATGTGGGCCATTGTACAAAACAAAGTCATGAGTAATTGGATCGTCTCTAACCAATCACAGTATAAAAGCCAGTGACGTGATTTATGATTCATGTTGGCCCAACCTGTCGGTTTCTTGGACCAATCAGAATGGTCAGAATGTGATCGCTAGAAGACGTCGGAGAGGAAAACAAATCCAGACTCGTGGTAGAGAAGAAACGCAAGTGGGCGTGGCGTTGGGCCAGAGCCATGGTGGGTGGGTAGTCAGGCTAGCGAAATGGCTCTTTGATGGGAAAATGACCCAATCAAAGAGCCAGCATTACCAATGTTCTAGTAGAGTAGAAGATCTGTAGATCACAATGCTCCTTCAGCCACCCTACAGAGGCATATGTTCAGAATTCCTCTAGGACTCATGAAACTGTCCTTCAGGCTCATTGTATAAGCTGTTGTCTCTGGCCGCTGGGTTTCAGTGTCAAACTGCTCTAAAAGGCCATGGCAGACTTGAAGGTCATGGTCAAAATGAATGATAGAGACATCTAGTGGCCAAAAGGCCGTCTTAGCATGTGCAGCGCCATTGAGGGCTTCAATCATTTTAATGTAGTCAACTGGGTGGGACTTCCAGCTTCATTGGCTGATCCTTCCTGGTGACCCTGTTGGAGTCACGTCCAACCGGGTCATCAGGAGGGATCAGCCAATCGTGAAGAAGAAAATGTCCTACTTCAAAATGGAGATAGCCTCAATGGCACTTGCCATGCTGTCACAGCCGCTACAATGGCACAGATACAAAGATGGTCACGACACATACATCATATCGACCTCTGCATCTTTGTGGACACAGGGAAGGTATTGCTGTTATCAGGTACAGAAGACACTCGCTGCAGATGTTGGCAAACACAATCATGGAACTTGCCTGATTTGTCATGGGAAAAAAAGAGAATATCTGAAAATTGTCAGAATCAGATCAATTAAAGTAAGTTACTGTAGTATGCCTCGTATGACTCATACATGACTCCACTGTTGACCTAAACAGGGTAGGTAAACACCTGATTGTGTGAAAGTCTAATGACTTCAATTGTGAGGTTTCATTTGGAGAAGTGTCCCAGTGTTGCTGGAGTTCAATAAATCAGAGAAATAAATGACCAATGTGATAATCTGTCCTGGAAAGGGCAGCTAAAAGATTTATCATCTGGTGTGCTTAGAGCACAAAGGCCATCTGATACATACTCACAGTCAAAGGCTGTCTCCTTTCAACTCACAGTCATTCCTGTCCATGTTGGCTGGTTTCACAGAATTCCAACCCTTTTTTATACCCTGAGGTCACAAGATGCACTGAGAAAATTAAAGATGTGATTTTGGAAAATGTTCAAATTTAGGATGGGCGATACTCTATTCACTAAATCTAAATCTCTACAACTGACTTTAGTATAAGGACCGATCAGGAATACATCAGAAGTGGGTCATACTCAAAATGTCACATTTAATGTCAGAACTATTTTTGGACTAATAAGTCAAATAACTGTTCACAACAAATAATGGAATGAGACAGATTCCTAGTTCATTTTTTCAGTATTTAGGCCATACAAATGTAAATAAATGTTTAACAGATTGTGTGGCAAGCAAATACAAATCAAGAAGTGGACCTTCTTGTTAAAATACTATAGTGACCTTAGTTCAACACCTGGCAACCAACTTTAAGAGATGATAGCCTCTTGGGGATGCTAAAAGAGGCATAATTCAGCCATAATCCAAGAGGAAGTTGTGTATCTCTTTACTGGAAGCATCCTCTAATCGTGCACTTTTTCAGTACAATGGGCCTCAGGATCACTTTTTCAGATATTAATTTTATTTTTGATTAAATTGAAGAGGGGAATCCGTTCAACATTTAAGTAAATGTGTATGGCCTTACTTTAAGAACCTATCTAGAATAAGAACGCTTCTGTGAAGGTGAGAAATAGTGACCATAATCCAATTGGACAGAAAATCCCAATCAACAGTTATCAGTCATTTGAGCGGCCAACATGTTGATTGTTTGACTCAGTGGTAGCCTAGGGCATCGCATCTTCTTCTTTGTATACTCTACATATATGAATAATATTTTTCTCCTTTACACTACAATCTATTATTGGAAGATATAAACAGGGGGCGGTTGAGAGGGGGAGGAAAAGTGCTAGTTACACTGAACAAAAATATAAACGCAACATTCAACAATTTCAACGATTTTACTGAGTTACAGTTCATATAAGGAAATCAGTCAATTGAAATAAATTAATTAGGCCCTAATCTATGGATTTCACATGACTGGCAATACAGATATGCATCTGTTAGTCACAGATACCTTTTTTTTTAAAGGTAGGGGTGTGGATCAGAAAACAAGTCAGTATCTGGTGTGACCACCATTTGCCTCATGCAGCGCGACATCTCCTTCGCATAGAGTTGATCAGGCTGTTGATTGTGGCCTGTGGAATGTTGTCCCACTCCTCCTCAATGGCTGTGTGAAGTTGCTGGATATTGGCAGGAACTGGAACACGCTGTCATACACGTCAATCCAGAGCATCCCAAACATGCTCGATGGGTGACATGTATGGTGAGTATGCAGGCCATGGAAGAACTGGGACATTTTCAGCTTCTTGGAATTGTGGACAGATCCTTGCTACATGGGGATGTGCATTATCATGCTAAAACATGAGGGTTTTGCGGCAGATGAATGGCACAACAATGGGCCTCAGGATCTCGTCACGGTATCTCTGTGCATTCAAATTTCCATTGATAAAATGCAATTGTGTTCGTTGTCCGTAGCTTATACCTGCCCATACCATAACCCCACCACAGGGCACTCTGTTCACAAACGTTGACATCAGAAAACCGTCTGCCCACACAGGCGCAATACACGCTGTCTGCCATCTGTCCGGTACAGTTGAAAACTGCACATTTTAGAGTGGCCTTTTATTGTTCCCAGCACAAGGTGCACCTGTGTAATGATCATGCTGTTTAATCTACTTCTTGATATGCCACACCTGTCAGGTGGATGGATTGTCTTGGCAAAAGATAAATGCTCATTAAGAGGGACGTAAACAAATTTGTGCACACATTTTGAGATAAGCTTTTTGTGCATATTGAACATTTCCGGGGTCTTTTATTTCAGCTCATTAAACATGGGACCAACACTTTACATGTTGCGTTGATATTTTTGTTCAGTGTAGTTCCACCCCCGAGAGCGTTGCCCAGAGCAGGAGGGGGAAGTCACAAAAATGGCTACTTGTCACCACGGCTGGCAGGAAACATGCCGGAACGGTCAACTGCACATTGACATTTTGTGTAGCAGGCAGCAATAGAGAGCAACCCCAGGATAGAGGTGCACAGAGGGAGCTGACACAACTGTGGCCAGACACCGATGGACTGGGAGGACGTGCACTGAGAGGAAGGCTAATTGGAAAAACCACTGATGTATTGGGTCTGCAGGAGAAAAACAAAGGCATCTCTTTTGAGTGACAGCAAAATGCTTTTAGTGAACAGAGAGCATTATGTTTCACTATTGAAAGATGATACAATTGTGAAATAAGTTGGCCCGTTGCTTTACCATATAGACTTTGAGCAAGCACCACTGATTATTTCAGGCAGCAGATAAGGCCTATGAAATCAATTTTAGTCAGACTGGGGAGAAATTGTGTTTGTATTACCCAGAGACTTTTTAATTGAACATACAGTATAGTATCGCTGTTACATTTCTCAATTATGAAATGCCCCCAATATGTGAAAAACACATGAACTTTACAGATAAGCCTACACATCCAATTTGATTTTATTGGAGAATACCAGTAATTTGTTTGACATGATGCAGCCTTTAGTCTGCATAAAAAATGAGGGTCGTCAACTTATCATGGACCTCATGAGTTGCTTTTAGACAGGTGTGATTTGGCTCCACTCCGATGGGCATACAGAGGAACCATAAAACAAATTGCACCTCATTCTAAACTGTTAGAATAATGGGTCTGTTGTCAGTCGGATATAGCACATTATCAAACCCTCAGTAGAGTAATCCACTGAGCCAGCTATCCTGAGCAATGTACTGATGATATCTTAATTGCCTGAAATCATTATGACCATGAAGGGAGTGTGAATCACTGGTGTCAATGTGTAAAGAATGTCCGTTTTCAGCTATGCCTAGTCTTCAACTCCTTAAGGTTAACAATGCATCTTTCCAGATAGTGAGTAATCGGAGGATTTCAGAGAAGCATATGAACATCTGTGCAGTATGTGGGAGAGGAGCAAGAGGAGAGAGCCATAGTTGAGGTTAATCATTTGCAGCTTGGTGGAAATTCATTTGTAATTAAAAAGTAATGCATTTTCATGAATTAATTGGCATCAATGGCTTCATTACTCCTTTATAAAAGAGGTGACATGTTGAGGCCGAAGACCTTTGTTAAAGCCACAAGACTGGACTACCAATTCCATTGGAAAATACATTGCAGTATGGCACCAATGGATGAATGGCTTTGTGGCATTGTGACATGCTCGGCTTGATTAAATTCTGAAAATAAGTTTGTGCATGCATGCGCGTTTTCTGGCGGTATGTAGCTTAGAAAAATAAATTGGGAGAAAAACAAAACAATTTAGAAAATCGCGAAAGATAAATTTATTTCAACAATATAAATATTTACATTTCACACTTAAAAGACAAATATATTTACAGACGGATATTCCATGAAGAAATATAAAATGAATGTACAATTCAGGTAAACATTCTTTTTTTGGCTTCCAGTAAGATTGTCGCTTTCTGACGACAAATGCCGGACACCTGGCATCACGGGATTGTCCCAGAATACAATGTGTTCTAATACAGGGTATTCCAATAGCCGAGATCCCTTTGGTATGTGGAGAGGAGGCAGTGGGCTAAAAAGGTCCATGAATAAAACTAATAAATAATAGTTGAAATTTAGTTGGTTTTTAAAAAAGGTGCGTTATTGAGTCTTCATCCAGGGCTGCGTTGATCTCACAGGCGCCTGACGTTCCTCTTGCTGCGAGCGCTGCCGATGAGGATGGCTCTGGAGCTGCTAGGCCCCCGGGCCAGCCCTGTGTGGCAGGCTGAGGAGCCATGAAAAGGGCCCTGGCACAGGGTGCAGAAGTCAAAGGCACAGCTGAGGCGGGTACAGGTGGCCCTCATGGCATCTGCGTTGTGCTTGGCAGGAGAGCCGCAGCGCTTACAGGGCTTCAGCGACTCGTGCTGCTTCAGCAAACTGGCAGCCTAGAGAACACAAGCAAAGAATGTATAAGGCTACGGAGCATAACTCACTCATTGTATCATTTGTAACATGAACATGTCAATTACTTTCTTAGAACTGATTGAAGGGTGACACCAACTCTCAATAAGTACACACACTGAGCACCATCATGTCCTCTGAACCTTTACATGCAAAGTGAATAGCGCAACCGTCACCTCTTGGTATTCTCTGAAGCGAGATTGCTGGGAGCAGTACAGCGACGGTGTGCCTTCTCTCTGGGAGAGCATCCTATAGTTAGACTTATGGATAGGGGTTGAAGCTACCCTCTGCATACAGGACATTACAACCCGGGACAGGGCGGCGTCTCGTGTCAAAGAGCCGACATTCTCCAGTCCTACAGAAGTTCTTGGGTCCTACAACAAAAACGGACATTGCCATTTACCAAACAATATTCATGCAGTGGATTACCCTATGGTTAGGTAATTAAGATTGAAGTACTTGAAGGAGCCCCTGTAAATGAATCCAGATTAAGAACATATCAGCATAAGGGATTAGCAAAGTTTGGAGCCTCTGCAAGCGAAAAAAACAAACCATCAATGTGGTTCAAAACCATTGACACCTGATAAAGGGTATACAATGACTAAAGGAACCCCAGTTAAATGTTAGCGCTTACCCTGAGTCTCTGTTTAGCCTGGTCGCATCTACGGAGTGCAGACTTGTCTTGGTAGATGATTTTTCTCCAGGTCTTGCTCACTTTTCTACAGCTGTGAAGAAAACCACCATGAATGAATACATGATAAGAGTATAAAAACATTTCCATGTTGAAAAACCTGTACAATTGTCATAGGACCAGTAAAGGTCACATGTTTACCTTATTACATTTGTCATTTACCTTATCAAGTCGACATCTCCTAGCAGACGCAGGATCCTGGTGAGGATGTGCTTCATGTCCCTCTCCAGCAGTGCTTTTAAAACATCTATATATTCAAGGCCCATGTTCCCACCCAAAACCCTTTCAAGGCCGGAGTCCTCTGCTAGCCGGCTAATGACAGACCAGTCATAGCTATGGGTCCTCTTGAAACTGTTGGCGAGTTCTTGGCATACAGCGTGTTGAAACTTCAGTATGGGGAGTTTTGAGGCAGTATGCTTAGCCTTGTGATAATCAGCAACTGGAGTACATGGGGAGAATATATCCTGTCCTGGAGACTGCTCTAGTTCCTTTATGTTATCAACGTCCTCTATCTGGCTGTTCTGTAAAGAGAGGAAACCGCTGTCCTCGAATGCTTCACAGCCTAGGTTTACCTCGTCAAGTACCCCATCATGTAGGTTGTTCTCCTTATTGTGAACACCTTTCACATTATCCTTGAGGCAAAAGTTGGCAGCGGTGGTGACACATGGTGAGAGCTGTGGTTTGACTACTACTTGGACGCATTCCTTTAGTGGGGAGGTTTTCAGGCCCGACTCCTTGTATGTGACATGTTTCTCCATGTTGCATGGAAACCGGGGTTCCTCGTAGTTGGACGGACACTTCATTTTTAAATGACTGATTGTGGTCACAAATTGTAGCCCTGAGGAAGAGAAAATAAAACGGTGCATTTGCCAGTTTAATCTCAATCAAAACGCGACAAACTGGCTAGCTACAGTAGCTACATAACACGTTGTATCAACCCACAGTGGATTGCCCACTCATACTAGAGTTAGTTACATTCTCTAAAATGTAACATTAGCTAGATATTGTTTTGGTTGATCAAAAAGTTAGGACAATTTAGAGCTGCAATCCCTCCAAAGCAAAGGGCGCCCTACCCTAGTTCCCCCCAATTTAGCTTGCAGCATAGCTAACTAGCTAGCCAGGTTAGCTAACCGGCTAGCCAACTAATTTAGAGTAAAATATTATAGTTAACTACTAAACGATAATTGTTAACATTAATCGTAGGCAGCATCAGATCAGTCCAGTAACGTTAACCTTAGCTATATTAAAGATAATAGTAATGTTAACTCTGTGGATATTATATTCATAGGATATCCAACGCTAGCTAACCTATTTTTACGCGCGTACGTTTTGCGCTTAAAACGACAATATGTAATATTGACATTAACGTTATTGGAAAACGTATAGCTACTAAGCAGTTTAACTAGTTACCTAACGTTAAATGAATATTCAACTCCATTGCTAGTTAGCTAAGCCAGACAGTTATGGCTAGTTAGCTAGTCAAATTGGTTGACATTAACTAACGTTAGCTAACATTGCAACAAACTAGCCAGCCTGCATCAAATGAAATGCGACACATCATAGCCTAACACAATATCTAGCTATAATAGCAAGCTTAATTGAGGTAAAGTAACAAAATATTTCATACCTGTAACGTTAACTTTAAAAATGACTCCTTGTTTCCCACCTTTGTCTACTGTTTAACCTTTGCTAATGACATTAGCTAGCTAACCGGGGTTCCCCAAACTCCAGACCTACTTGAATGAGGAAAATATGAAAATGCGCCAGTTCCATAGCTACACATTTGAAATTCGTGTCCAAAAGACGCACACCAATGAGGACCAAGCAGGGCAGTTACCTTTAAACCGGGGAACCAATGGGAGAACAGGAAAGCGCACGCTGACGTTAAACGTCAGAGGGCAATAGGCGGCTGCATTTTCCTCCTACCATTTCAAACAAATAAATACGTGTATTTTTTATTTTCAGTTTAACAACCTCTCTTAGCAAATACAGTAGAAAACATGGCGAGGTATACGTGATTCGTTAAAAAATTGGTGCAATGTTTTTTTTCTTATTATTTTATTTAATTTGTTTGAAATATGGACAAAGAAAAGGGCAGTCAACACAACATGAATAAAGTGGTTGACTGGTGGTTCTCTGCTGGGGGGTGTATTTTAAAGTTTTACTGCTAATAGAGTAACAAAAGCAGTTTGAGAACTGGCAGTTCACACCAGTGGGCGGAATGTGTTAAGTGGGCTCTTAAACTGAAACCAGGAAATGAAGGCAAACAAGCAAACAAACACACTGATCTTGCAAAAAGCAACATTCATAGCTTCATAGATTTAATGTAAACTACCACATTGGCTATTATTGATCACAGTCATTTTCTCCAAGAATGTCCATGAGAATCTCCTGGTTAGAGAACTCCTCTAATGCCACATTCATTTCCTCAAGAAGCTCTTCTCCCACAAGAAACTCCCGGACATCATGCACTGTTTTCCCAATCCGATGATCTGTGATTCGGTCCTGGGGAAAGTTGTAGGTCCTGATTTTCTCAGATCTACCTTTGGTGCCAATCTAAAAAAGGATAGATTAAAAATAGTCAATACACAAAATGTGCTATACAGACCAACACTTACTGTAAAAGCTTTGTATCCAACAGACAGCCGGCAGCTATTTGAGTTCCCACTCCCCCAGGCCCATCTCAGCTTCCACTTTCAAGGCAGTAAATACTCCAACAGGCAACTTTCTCACCTATGTCAGTCATGTCTATTCTATCAGTGCAAACCATATTAACTGTTGCCCATTGCAGTCCATTGTCTTTCTTCAACACTGTATTTTGGAAAGTTCAAGCCTAGGTTTTGTAAATGACTTTGTAGGAAACATATGAAAACTTTGAACTGGATTTTGATATCCATTCCTGACATAACCATTTTTGAACAGCAACATTCTTGTATATGTGCAGTTCTGATCCGTACCTGGACTTTCCGTGCAGTATATCGCTTACTGGTCTCTTCTTCCAGCCTCATACTATAGAGTTTGGCACGTAGAACCTTCATGGCCTTTTCCTTATTTTTCAGTTGGGATCTTTCCTGCTGGCATTCTGAGACCACACCTATGACCCAAAACAGAGATAAAACACTACTATGGAGACACTCAAAGGAGAAACAGGCTAATTCAAAGCAATAGATCCAACCACATTTGCCATTGTGAATTTTCCTTGTGAGTACATGCTCTGCAAATCACAATTTACCGTCTGTTTACAGTATGAGAATATGAGTTTCATAATCCACTGTCTGATCCTTACGGCATTGTATTGCCTGAGATTACCTGTAGGGAGATGAACTATTCGTACTGCGCTGTCTGTGGTGTTGACATGCTGGCCCCCGGCTCCACTCGCCCTCTTGGTTTCAATCCTCAAATCCTTCGCATTAATTGTGAATGTGATCTGAAAAATAAATAATGAATCCAGCACTTAGAAAAATAAGTCTGTACTTAATTTTTGGTAACAGAAGGTAATACTTCACAGAATATTTTTTATATTTATTTTTTAAGACTTGCAAGAGTACAAGGGCCAAATGCCTCAGGGAAGGACTTACCTCTGTGGGCTGGGGTAACACTGCCACTGTCATGGTGCTGGTGTGCATGCGGCCCTGTTTCTCAGTCTTAGGGACTCTCTGCACGCGATGCACACCTGCCTCAAACTTCATCCTCTTGTAGCTCTCAGGACCACTGACACTGGCTGATGCATGCCGTAATCCACCTGCAGACAGATTACATATTAACACACTCAAAGTTTCCATTCATAAAATGGAGTCAGTTGAAGTTTGGGTAAAAACTAGCAACAGGCATGGTTTGACAACAACAACCCTGTTAATGAATGAATGTGACTGACCTATTTCACTTTTCATGTACTCTAGGATGTCGAACCCCCAGCCCTGGTGTGCTGCAAAGCTCTGGTACATGTCAAAGACCTCTGCAGTGAAGAGCATGGCCTCCTGACCTCCAACCCCTGCGGTGACCTCCAGGACCAGGTCACTCATGTCTGACTCCTCCTCAGGGATCAACAGGGACAGGATCTGAAGGAATGTAGAAGAATCAGACATGATAGTTTAGTAATTTTCTCAAACTATGTTTTCCATACTGATTGAAGTGATTCGATTTCCTTTCGCCATCCTAAATGTGCTTTTATCAGTGTCATCTTATTCCAACTGTAGGGGGAACATAAAATGCAGGCGTGTACCTTTTGTCTAACATCTTGAATCGCTTTCTGACAGGCCTCCCTCTCAAGGACTGCCAGTTCACGCATGTCTGGGTCGTCATCTGAGAAGGGAAAAACAATGTTTCTTATTTCACTGAATTTACTATCAGTGAAAGATCCATTTATACTGAACAAAAATATAAACGCAACATGTAAAGTGTTGGTCCCATTTTTCAAATTTTCCATACGCATGAAGCTTATTTCTCTCAATTTTTTTGCAGAAATGTGTTAACATCCCTGTTACTGAGCATTTCTCCTTTGCCAAGGTAATCCATCCACCTGACAGGCGTGGCATATCAAGAAGCTGATTAAACAGCATGATCATTACACAGGTGCACCTTGTGCAGAGGACACTAAAAGGCCACTCTAAAATGAGCAGTTTTGTCACACAACGCCACAGATGTCTCAAGTTTTGAGGGAGCGTGCAATTGGCATGCTGACTGCAGGAATGTTCACCAGAACTGTTGACAGATAATTTAATTTTCATTTCTCTACCATAAGCCGCCTCCAACGTCATTTTAGAGAATTTGGCAGTACGTCCAACTGGCTTCACAACCGCAGACCACGTTCACCCACGCCAGCCTAGGACCTCCACATCATGCTTCTTCACCTGTGGGATCGTCTGAGACCAGCCACACGGACAGCTGATATAACAGCCACACCGAATAATTTCTGCAGAAACTGTCAGAAAAAGTATCAGGGAAGCTCATCTGCGTGCTCATCGTCCTCACCTGGGTCTTGACCGCACTGCAGTTCGGTATCGTAACTTACTTCAGTGGGCAAATGCTCACCTTCGATGGCCACTGGCACGCTGGAGTAGTGTGCTCTTCACGGATGAATCCGTTTTCAACTGTCCCGGGCAGATAGTGTGTATGGCGTTGTGTGGGCAAGCGGTTTGCTGATGTCCACGTTGTGGACAGACTGCCCCATGGTGGCGTTGGGGTTATGGTATGGGCAGGCATAAGTTACGGATAACAAAGACAACTGCATTTTATCGATGGCAATTTGAATGCAGAGATACCGTGACGAGATCCTGAGGCCCATTGTCATGCCATTCATCCGCCGCCATCACCTCATGTTTCAGCATGATAATGCATAGCCCAATGTCGTAAGGATCTGTACACAATTCCTGGAAGCTGAAAATGTCCCAGTTCTTCCATGGCCTGCATACTCACCAGACGTCACCCATCGAGCATGTTTGGGATACTCTGGATCAACGTGTACGACAGCGTGTTCCAGATTCCGCCAATATCCATTAACTTCGCACAGCCATTGAGGAGGAGTGGGACAACATTCCACAGGCCACAATCAACAGCCTGATCAACTCTATGCGAAGATGTGTTGGGCTGCATGATGCAAATGGTGGTCACATCGAATAATTTCTGCAGAAACTGTCAGAAAAAATGACATTTACATTTTAGTCATTTAGCAGACGCTATTATCCAGAGCGACTTACAGTTAGTAAGTGCATACACTATTTTTTTATTTTTCATACTGGCCCCCCGTGGGAATCGAACCCACAACCCTGGCGTTGCAAACGCCATGCTCTACCAACTGAGCTACATCCCTGCCGGCCATTCCCTCCCCTACCCTACCCTGGACGACACTGGGCCAATTGTGCACCGCCCCATGGGTCTCTCGGTATTCTCCCTTGTTTTCTGATCCACACCCCTACTTTAAAAAAAAAAAGGTATCTGTGACAAACAGATGCGTATATGTATTCCCAGTCATGTGAAATCCATAGATTAGGGCCAAATTAATTTATTTCAATTGACTGATTTCCAAATATGAACTGTAACTCAGTAAAATCTTAGAAATCGTTGAATGTTGCATTTACATTTTTATTCAGTGGTAGATACAAGATGGATACATTATACACCGTCACCTGATGTAGGAACAGGTACCGTTCGTGACATAATGTCAAACTCTCAAGCTGCTGATACCTAATGGCCATGAGATGCCCAATGCCCTTGTTGATAGAACATCACACATTAGGTGTGGCCTCACCTTTCAGTAATGTTTCTGTTTCAGCAAATTCCTGCTGTTTTGTCTGAAGCTCTCTGGTGTACTGGATTAGTGGGGCTAGTACAGAAACTCTTGTCCTCTTCACCCTCAATTCCTCTTCACCATCCTGCTGTCCCTCTGTCATGTTGACAACTGTCAGACTATCTCTGTACTCTGTCTCCATCTTCTTCAAGTAGTCCTTTAGTGATCTTCTGGCAAAGATCTCGTCCAATGACAGTACCTTCGTAATCATCAATGGCTGAGTTGCATGCATAGCTCTACTATTTGGGCAAATCTTTTGGGACACATTTTGACATCTACCGCATAGAACCGCTCGGTAATCTCTTAGCCTTTGGGACATGACAGTGGACCCCTTCTGGTAAGAGGACATCCAGGACCGACCACACACGTTCCCTAACTGCATTTTGACAGCTTGTGTAAAAGCCATACTAAACAACGGTTTGCCTGAAAGGCTTAATACAACATTGGAACAATATTACTCTCTATAATTTGTTGATTTGTTTTGCATATTATCTAGTTAGCTAGCTGATTTGTTTAGCACTACACAACGACAGCTAATTGAAGTGACATGACGTTCAGAAGGTTTTTGGATATCGTGTACAGTTGTTTCGACATTAACGACTATTTTCCATAAAACATTTTTTTTCTGTATTTTCATTTATCGTAGCTAGCTAACCGTCAGCAAAAGCAGAGAGGTTCTTTGAGAAGTGCTGCTCAAGGGCGCTGACATGTTGGTTTTCGCACATAAGTAGTTGCGCAGTATTTCGATTCTCAAATACCGTAAATATTGAAATAAAAACGTAGATTACCGTAAGTAAACAAATACATGTAGCCAAAACATTAAAATGTATATATAGTAGTAGCTACAGTATATCATAAACCGGATAGTTTGGCTCCTGGTGCTGATTTGGTAAACAGTTTATAATAGCAATAAGGCACCTTGAGGGTTCGTGGCATATGGTCAATATACCACGGCTAAGGGTTGTATCCAGGCACTCGGCATTGTGTCGTGGTTAAGAACAGCCCTTAGCCTTGGTATATTAGCCATATACCACACCCCTCGTGCCTTATTGCTTAAGTATCGCATTGTGTAAAAATAATAATGTTGTAGAAAACTTCACCAAAGCATTCACATGTCAAAACATGAATGTGTCACTGCACGGGACTGTCTTAATGACCACGTTGACTGTTGTGTTGATTGTTTATGGAAACAACCCTGGGTACAACAATCCCATGTTCGACCAGCAGATGGGAGGCAACATCCATCCAACTTTGTAATTCATTGAATACACCTACTTACAGATTGAGTAATGTGTAACAAACTACCAATGATACAGAGGGGACTGTGTGAATCAGGCCTTCATGGTCGAATTGCTGCAAATAAACCACTACTAAAGGACACCAATAAGAAGAAGAGACCTGCTTGGGCCAAGAAACATGAGCAATGGACATTAGACCGGTGGAAATTTGTCCTTTGGTCTGGAGTCCAAATTGGAGATTTTTGGTTCCAACTGCTGTGTCTTTGTGAGACACGGTGTGGGTGAACGGATGATCTCCGCATGTGTATTTCCCACCGTAAAGCATGGAGGAGGATGTGTTATGGTGTGGGGGTGCTTTTCTGGTGACACTGTCTGTGATTTATTTAGAATTCAAGGCACACTTAACCAGCATGGCTACCACAGCATTCTGCAGTGATAAGCCATCCCATCTGGTTTGGGCTTAGTGGGACTATCATTTGTTTTTCAACAGGACAATGACTCAACACACCTCCAGGCTGTGTAAGGGCTATTTTACCAAGAAGGAGAGTGATGGAGTGCTGCATCAGATAACCTGGCCTCCACAATCCCCCGACCTCCACCCAATTGAGATGGTTTGGGATGAGTCGGACCGCAGAGTGAAGGAAAAGCAGCCAACAAGTGGTCAGCATATGTGGGAACTCCTTCAAGACTGTTGGAAAAGCATTCCAGGTGAAGCTGGTTGAGAGAATGCCAAGAGTGTGCAAAGCTGTCGTCAAGGCAAAGGGTGGCTATTTGAAATATATTTTGATTTGTTTAACACTTTTTTGGTTACTACATGATTCCATATGTGTTATTTCATAGTTTTGATGTCTTCACTATTATTCTACAATGTAGAAAATAGTACAAATAAAGAGAAACCCTAGAATGAGTAGGTTTGTCCAAACTTTTGACTGGTACTGTATGTAACTACCCACTGGGCAAAATCAACGTTGTTTCCACGTCATTTCAACCCAAAAAATATGTGATGATGTTGAATCAACATGGAAAACTGATTTAGATTTGCAAAAAGTCATCAACGTATGGGCATTTTGTCTTTTTTTCACCCAACTTTTAACCTAAATCAAAACTAGACGTTGAACTGACGTCTGTGCCCAGTGGGTAGAAATGGGGTAACAGTTTCATTACAGTACCGTGTATGATGTTGGTAGCCTATTACTTGCAGCTGTGCACAATCATACGATTGGCAGCTCATAGCGCAAATAAAGTTCAAGGCAGGGAAAGGAAGAGTATTGCCAAATGTAGTTTTCCTTGGAATTTGCCTTGGGCAGGATGAATCATATTATATTTCACCAAATTTGGCTGTTGCGTAGTGCTTTTGGTTCTTTGGACAAGGGGGATTTCCAAGCTGTGATTCACATTTTCTTTGCCCATGAGATAGATAGGATGGAATGCAAGGAACACACGCAGTGTTTCCAATAGTAATCAGTTTGAGATTTTTACTACTTGATGTTGGTAGTAAATAAGTAGTCACAACACTACAGCCTGTTTTTGTCAATCCAAACCAGCCAAACTGAGCAATCTGGGGAGAAGGGCCTTGGTCAGGGAGGTGACCAACAACCCAATGGTCACTCTGACAGAGCTCTAGAGTTCCTCTGTGGAGATGGGAGAACCTTCCAGAAGGACAACCATCTCTGCAGCACTCCACCAATCAGGCCTTTATGGTAGAGTGGACAGACGGAAGCCACTCCTCAGTTAAAGGCACATGACAGCCCGCTTGCAGTTTGCCAAAAGGCACCTAAAGGACTATGAGACCATGAGAAACAAGATTCTCTGGTCTGATGAAACCACGATTGAACTCTTTGGCCTGAATGCCAAGCGTCACGTCTGGAGGAAACCTGGCACCATCCCTACGGTGAAGCATGGTGGTGGCAGCATCATGCTGTGGGGGTGTTTTTCAGCGACAGGGACTGGGAGACTAGTCAGGATCGAGGGAAAGATGAACGGCGCAAAGTACAGAGAGATCCTTGATGAAAACCTGCTCCAGAGCGCTCAGGACCTCAGACTGGGGCGAAGGTTCACCTTCCAACAGGACAACGACCCTAAGTACATAGCCAAGACAATGCAGGAGTGGCTTCGGGACAAGTCTCTGAATGTCCTTAAGTGGCCCAGCCAGAGCCCGGACGAACATCTCTGGAGAGACCTGAAAATAGCTGTGCAGCGACGCTCCCCCGTCCAACCTGACAGAGCATGAGAGTATCTGCAGAGAAGAATGGGGGAAACTCCCCAAATGCCAAACTTGTAGCGTCACACCCAAGAAGACTGGAGGCTGTAATCGCTGCCAAAGCTGCTTCAACAAAGTACTGAGTAAAGGGTCTGAATACTTATGAAATGTGATATTTCAGTATTTTATCTTTAATACATTTGCAAACATTACTAAAAACCTGTTTTTGCTTTGTCATTATGGGGTATTGTGTGTAGTAGATTGATGAGAAAAATAACAATTTAATCAATTTTAGAATAAGTCTGTAACGTAACGAAATTTGGAAAAAGTCAAGGGGTCTGAATACTTTCCGAATGCACTGTATATCATTAGAGGAAGTCACACCTGCTACCCTAGATATCACTACTGTTAGGGCTGGCTGAGTGACTGCTGTTAAAAACAGGACAACATGTGAAGATGTTGCAGTTGATGTGGGATTCTTGGTGGACTAGCACAGTTGTAAAGGAGAAGGAAAAAAAAAAAAAAAAAAGAAGGATAGAAATACGGCCAACCAAAATAGCCCCTCAAGTGGATATTTATGGCAAGCATTTGTGAGTCCGAGCACGTTTCAATGTATACACGCCACAGTGTCTCCCCCAGTGTCAGTGTGTTATGTGGCTTCCTATTTGGGAGTCGCTGAGTCATGGTAGTAATGGAGAGGGACATTAAAATGGAGGCAAATTGAAACATTGAGTCACAATCCATTATGCTACATTAAATAGATAACATGCTTGTGACTCCTACATATTTTCCCTGGAGGCAATCACAACTTGTTACATTGTATCCACAGGGGTGTTTCCATCCAACATTGAGTGTGCTCTGGCTTTGTTTTCCCCATATTAAGATGTTTATCATCAGAATGAATAGTGTTCATAGTGTTCATGAATAGTGTTAAATGCCACATCTGTGTAATATAGGGGCTATAAGAAAACTTCCATTATAAACTTTCCATTATAAGCTAATCAAAGTCCAGTACATGTTATGACCCAAATTCATATAGTAAATTATTTAAATCCTGGATTTGTAAGAATTCAAAGTAAGAGGTGCCCTGCTTCTAGGAATTTGGAGCAGCAGGGTCCCCTATTGCTAACATGCATGTGTCACCAACCCCACCACCACTGCCTTCGGAATGAATGCAGCCCAGTTTACGTTTTGTTGTCAAATGAGCAGGCAACTTGTAACGAATCTGTTGGGAAGATAGGAGAACACTCCACCAACTTTATGTGGCGAAAATGGAGCGCGTTTGAATGTGACAGCATCCCACTACTTCTGATCATGTAAGTAAATCGTTTAACTCCTATAGCGACCTCTGGAAATACCATTATTTACAGCAGTCAGCACATGGCAAGAGCTCTGATTGGGGAGACGATATGAGTCGAATCTGCATGATGTAGCCAAGCGTTCGTCAGCGACATTTCTAATAATCTTGATGCACAGTTTTTGGGATGAAATTATTTTAACAAATGAATTTACCAAACACCGTGCATGCATACTGCACAGAGTAGATCACAAATAGCAACTCGTTTATAGCTGAAGGTCGAATGGTCACAACATCGAACTGCGCTACCTCGAAATGACAGGTGCACTGCACCGTTACATTTGAAATACGTCATGCTATGCGTGTGCATGATGCGAGGTGTTTGATTAGCCTACGTTACATGCGAGCAGGTCCAACATGTTCTTTGAATGTGTGTAACTGCTACATAACCTTGGAACATTAGTAAGCCTATATTTTATGATTTCACATTGTGTGTGTGTGTGTGTGTGTGTGTGTGAGAGAGAGGGAGAGAGAGAGAGCGAGAGAGAGAGAGGCATAATGTTTGGTTAGCTGTAGGATGTTGTGTTCTTATAAACAAAACTATACACAGAGGCCGAGTCCAGTAGGCTACACAACCCAATGACACA